ACTTCATGAAACTTTCATATTCATATAAACACATCATTACTTTTGTTGTTCCATTGTTGACATCATTCTTGCGGCGACTATGTCATAGAATGTCCTGGAAATGCTTTGATTAAAGACAACGAAGCATGCAAATCAACTCTTGTGTCTCTTTAAAATATGCTACAACATTGTTCCCTGAAGTGTTTTTGAAATCCATTCACGCAAATACCAGGAAAAGGATGTCATTGTACACTATGACATCACATCTGATCTGTTGGCAAAGTCCTCTGAGATCACTGCTGTTGTGATTTAGGGCTATACAAGAATACATTGAAAGGAATTAAATTGAACATTTTGTTTTAGCAGTCAGTAATTTTCTAATTCTAAACCTTCGCTGGTGGTAGTATAGGAATAAGACAGGCCGAAAACATTGTTCCCAGAAGTCTGCCATCACAGTACTAACCAGGCCCTGTCCTGCTTCACTTCAAAAGTCTGACGAGATCTATATAGTACCTTTCACAGACCAGAGTCACAAAGCATTTGTCTCTCACTGCTCACAGAGATGGGAGCGAGGTCGCCGAACAAGAAGCGCAAAGACCTATTGTACATGTTTTTAGTGGTAGGGGAAACTGGAGCACCTGGAGAAAACCAACGCAGACACAGCGAGAACATGCAAACTTCACAGAGTAAGGTCTGGGGGTGGAATCGAACCCAGGACCATCTGGCTTTCACCTGCAGGTAAAGTGTGCAGTCAAGTCTGTATTGTGATTTAGTAAACTTTGGTCATGTGTGCGGCTGGGAGCCATCAGGAGCCATCAGGAGCCCGTCCGGCCCTTACCCCTTGCCCCCCACAGAGAGGTTCATCCATCACTGTCAGACCTCCCTCCTCTGCTGCACGTGTGTATCTGTCTGTCAGTCTGTGTGTGTGTGTCTGATGACTGGGGCTGTAGATCCAGGATTGAGGCTGTAGATCCAGGACTGAGGCTGTAGATCCAGGACTGAGGCTGTAGACCCAGGACTTTAGAGGCTTTAAAACAGGTTTTCCTCTGCTGTATTGTCCCGTCTGAAAGTCCACATTTCACTGAGAGAAGTCACTGCGCAGAGCCACAGAGAGGACCTGACTCGTCTGATTCTGCAGGAAGCGTGCGTAATTTCATTAGTCTGAATGGGAAAAGCGCTGTGGTCACGCTGAAAGTCTTGCTGACAGCTTGACATGGTTTATAAATCAGTTACACATAAGGAATTGTGTCCTGTGGCATGTGCGATTACACTGACTGATGCTAAATCGTTAATACAGACTTGAGCTGAGCGGGGGAAAATAATGTTCTTTACATGTTCACAATCCTATGATTAGCTTTTTGCAGGGAACAGATTACTTTGGATGGAAAAAGGATTCAGTATTTTCCTGAAAACACAAAAACCACGGTTACTATCGGACTATATAACGTTTACCAAATTGCTGCAAAGTGAAGATTAAAATTGGAAAACACAAACACATGTAATTGTTCTGACAAAAGCCTCAAATTTGGTCATGAAAAGGAGAACTCAGAGAACATATTTTTGTGCAGGATACTTTGAGAACGTGTTTGACATCTTTTGAAAACACTAAAAGCTGCAGCCACCTGAGTGGAGTTTGCATGTTCTCCCCGTGTCTGTGAAAGGCGGTATATAAATAAAGATTACTTACTTACTTACTTACTTACCTTTCCTCACACACTTTGCCTGTTTGACTGATCAACAACTTGGCATTTAACCCGCCTTGTGACCTTTAGTCTTTGTGTCTGTGTGGTCGAAGGAGTCAAATAAAAATCCATCAGTTTTATACAGTACTTTTTGGACGCTCAAAGATGCTTCACTTGTCGTTATTCAAACCACTATTGTAGCCACAGCTGCCCTGGGGCACACAGACAGAAGCGAGGCGACCAGTCTGTTCCATCGGGCCTCATTCTAATGTGGGTGAAGTGTCTTGCCTAAGGACCACAGTTTAGGGCACTTTACAGCCAGAGCCGTCTCACTGTGGCACCTGGTGTTCCCAGAGGTCTCCCATCACAGCACTAACCAGGCCCTTCCTGCTTAGCTTCAGAGGTCTGAGAGGTTCACGGCTGAACACCATCGACAATCCACCAATCCTTCAACTCTTCATCATTTTAAAACAAAATCCTTTTCCAAGATTTCAGTTCAACTTTGAGGAGATTCTTTCAATAAAATAAACTATGAAATGAAATACCAAGGCAACGTCAGCGTAGTTTCGGCTTCATCTGGTTTCCCGTAAAACTTTAATATCACTCAAACATAAACAAGTTGAAACATCTGATGATCTACCAAAAGAATCTCGAAACTTGTAGTGTTTTCCTTGAATTCATTACGGGAGGCAGACCGTGTTCCTCCAACAAAAACCAAATCCTGCAAGTATTTGATGAATGCTTGTCAGTCCAAAGCCTCGGCATTTGGCCCTTTCTCCAGGTCTTCCATAATCACCTCTTTATTTACCTTTGCGCTCCCTGGGGTTTGGTTAGCTAACGCGGACGGTTAGCCAGTAGCTTCAAACTCACGGAACAAGTCAGCTGTCAAAACAATGGATCTGAAGCTTCGATGGAGAGAAGAGGACGAAAGGAATTCTGGAATACCCCCCTGCACCCCCCTCCCATCTGGGCTCCTCCATTACCCCCTCCTCCCTCCGCTTCTTCCTCCAGCAGGAAACCCCCAGTGGTCCGTGGAGTAACCAGAGCTCTCATCTCCAGCGGTGGGTGCAGAGATGGGACGTCCCCGCCTCATTATCAGCCTCATTATCAGCCTCATTATCCCCGATGTTATTCTGCAGCAGCTCCAGCTCCTCTTCTCTCTTTGTCTCTTCTTCAGCCTCTTCACTCTCCACGTTACATTCTGTTCTTGTTTTTGTCTCAAGACGTTTTCTTGCCGATCTCAGGAGCGGGTCATTCATGGTGTTTAGAAAGCAAAGGAATACGGAGAATGTAAAAACACTGACACCTTTCAGACTGACCGTTTTAGATTCAATACAGTTTATAGCCCTAAATCACAACAGCCTCATCTCAGAGAATTAAACCATTGAAGTCACAGATCAGACACAGAAAATAGAGAACAATGTCCATGAATGTTGATAAATGTCACACATGTAGAATGTTAAAGTGTCCTGGATCATCACAGTCAGACACCAACTGTCCAACAGACTCCTACATCAGAGGATAAACTCTAAAACTCAGAGGGAGAAAAGTGAGAAACCTCGGGGAGATCCACAGAGAGAGAGATTTTCTCCTTTTTAACATATTACACAGTCTTTATGGGCAATTATAATGATATAATCTATTTACTTTGTACTTTTATGTTTTAAAATGTGAAATAAAGTCTTCAACAAATCCATATTAAGGCTGTCGTTTTTCTGTGCGATTATTTTCCGTGACATTTCTTTACATGTAGTTGTGTTAAGTTTGTGTAAGCCCTCAGTCGTACAGGGATCAGTCAAAGCAAAGGAAGGTTTCTCACCCATCATCTGTACTTCTTAGCAAGTTTTCCCGACGTTTCGTCCTAGCGGACTTCTTCAGGGAATGAATTCTCGACCCGCACGTTGGAGATTTATAACCTATGGGTGTGGTAAGCCACACCCTAACCCTGATACTAACTCATAAACAATCTCAGGTCTGCTTGATGTAGAAGGGAGCAGGTCTAACGACCCTGCTGAGGCTAACGACCCTAACTCCTTAGCATGTCACAGACCTATTGTCTGCTGGGATGCTCAAGTGGAGTGCAGGTTTCACCCCTCCTAACTCATTAGCATGTCACTGACCTTGTCCCAAGTTAGGGCGTTGTTTTTAGGATGTCGTCATAGATGCGAGGCAAAACAAATCTTAACCCTCCTCCTCTGTTAAGAGAAGGTTTGTTTCCTCACAAAAATGGCTTCTTTCACCCCTCTCTCAAACTAATTCTTCTCCCGAGCCAGAATTTTAACCTCTGTGTCATCCACCGTGTGGTTGGAGGCCTTGTGGTGGAGATGAACAGCCGACTGTGGCCCACTACTTCTCTACGATGTTGGTAAAGTCGTTTCTGTAGAGTTTGTTTGGTTTCTCCAATATAGTGGTCAGTCTCCAACGCGCGGTCTGAGAATTCATTCCCTGAAGAACTCCGCTGGTTTGAGGACGAAACGTCGGGAAAACTTGCTAAGAAGTACAGATGATGGGTGAGAAACCTTCCTTTACATGTAGTTGTGTTGTTGCTGTGGCCACTGTTAGTACAGAAGAGAGAAACAGGAAGTGTCCTCTGACGTGTTCTGGTCGAAACCAGGCGACAACGGCTGGATTTCAACTGAGACGTGTGGGGTTTGTGCAAGTTGGCCGTCTGAATATAACTGATCTATAACTGATCTATAACTGATCTATAACTGATCTATAACTGATCTATAACTGATCTATAACTGATCTATAACTGATATATAACTGATATATAACTGATCTATAACTGATCTATAACTGATCTATAACTGATATATAACTGATATATAACTGATCTATAACTGATCTATAACTGATCTATAACTGATATATAACTGATCTATAACTGATCTATAACTGATATATAACTGATCTATAACTGATCTATAACTGATCTATAACTGATATATAAATGATCTATAACTGAAATCATTCATCACTTATATATTTCTTTATTTTGCATCAAGTGTGTGAAATATACAGTAACTCAGATAGACAGTAAAAAACATCTGTCACACTGTGAGCTGTTTCACTTCTCCACGTTGATAAATGGGATTCATATTTCAGTCCAATGTCCAATGAGCAATATTACATTTTATTACAAAGAAAAGTGTCCTGTTGCATCACTGTCTGTCTGAAATCACTGATCATTGATGCTTTTAGTCAAATGTTGAAATATGTTATGTTAGAATCAGCTTCAAAGCAGTGAATAGTATTTAGCCTGATATGGATCTCAGTGTGAGCCGCTAACCTGCCCCTAGTGGCTGATGTGGAGAACTGCTGAAATGCCCTCATTAGTCATGATGATGGACAGTCTGGACAGAGGCCACACTGCTGGGACGTCCCGTCAAGAGCGTCTTTCAGACTGAGGAGGGAGGGAGCATGGGGGGAGAGGGAGGCATGGGGGTGAGAGAGGAGCAGAGGGGCTAGAGAGGAGCATGGGGGGTGAGAGAGGAGCAGGGGGGCTAGAGAGGAGCATGGGGGGAGAGGAGGAGCATGGGGGGTGAGAGAGGAGCATGGGGGAAGAGGGAGGAGCATGGGGGGTGAGAGAGGAGCAGGGGGGCTAGAGAGGACCATGGGGGGAGTGGAGGAGCATGGGGGGAGAGGGAGACATGGGGGGAGAGGGAGGCATGGGGGGTGAGAGAGGAGCATGGGGGGAGAGGGAGGAGCAAGGGGGCTAGAGGGGAGCATAGGGGGAGAGGGAGGAGCATGGGGGAGGAGGGATTTATGTTGTGTAAAGGTTACAGACTGCAGGTGACACAGTCCCACAGTCACAGAGACCACATTAGTCCTGGTCTCAGGTCTCTGCACCTGTGGCTCAGAGAAGAGACTTTAAAGCAGCTCTGTTTGTTACAAGTCTCTCCACGGCCTCAAAGTCCATCTGGGACATGTTAGTGCTATAGGGACCAACTCTGAGGAGCACAGGGACGGGCCTCCTGCTGGGACTCTGAGGAGCACAGGGACTGGCCTCCTGAAAAGGCAAGACAGACTTCTTCTCTGAAAATGTTCAAATCCTGGTTTAAAAACAGTTTTTGCTACAACTGAAGGATTTGATCTTTACTCTTTTCAATGTGCAGTGATTTATTTCTGATGTTAATTCCTTGTGTGACTGTTTTGTTAAGCACTTATTGCCTTCTGTATGAACTGAACTGAGCTATACAAATAAACATGCCTAAAGAAGGACATGGCTGCATCCAAATTCAACTGATACACCTCCTTCTTTGTCGTTTATCATAATTCTAAATATATGAGCTGAAAAGAGCTGTATAAAACTGACGCATTATTATTACAAATATCTGGAGAGACTTGAACCAACAAAACATAAGTATTATTAGAGTAGTACATTGTTGGCAGAAATCTGACACTAGGGAGGAGATGGGGAGGAGGAGGGTTGCGGCGTGAATGAAGCTTGGATGGAGTGCCTGATGCTGCCAGGTGAGGGCAGTGTAGCGCTGCAGTTGAGTGTGATTGACAGATGCTGTTGCCCTTAGCGACAAAGGGAGGACTTTGAGCGCTGTGAGCTTAGTTCCTCCTGTCTTCCGCTCTGAACATCCGCTTTAGCTTCATAATTATTTAGCAGTTATGACCTCTTTAATGATCTCTTTGTTGATGTTTGGGTGAAAAACCGACTACAGGAAAATGCCACCGGTAGAAATAGTTCTTAATCAGTATTTTGAGATGCAGGAGGGTCTAAAGACAGTGGGGATGATCCAGGACACTACACATTCAACAACATTTATGGACATTAGCGCCATTGGTCCGTAAGGGAGTGACCATGTTTTTATCATTGCATTTCCTTTGTTGAACTCTTTGATTCTCTGATCTGTGTTGATGAATCGACAACTTTGTAAAGTGCTCTGAGACAAATACTTCTGTGATTTAAGGCTACACAAAAATCTATTGAATTTAAATGAAAACAGGAATTGCGTTAACCTTTAAAGATGCAGTCAGGTATTTTTTCCAGACGCATTTTCTTTTCAATAGTGTGGAAAACGTCCCTAAATCCTAAAAGTAGTCATGGAATTGATCAGATGCCCGTAGTCTCAAAAAATGAATACAAATTTATTTTTGAGCAGACCTTTGAAAATAAACCAATGGGATTCGAACCAATGGGATGTGTTTACCGCCTTCACCCTCTTCCTGTTTCTCAGAGTGCACCGGAGTTATCAGATTTTCTAAAACCTAAAAGGGCTGAACAGAAAATGCCAATATCACATTTGCCGCCCACTCTCCCTGTTGTGACAAAGAAAAGAAAAGGCTGGATGTTTGGTTTGGTGGAGAGGGAGGGGAGGGGGGAGGGGTTTCCAGTTGGTGCTAACGGCTAAGCTAACAACATCACTTACCGTATCTTTAAGTGGTGGGATGTGTCCAAATTCTAACTCGCACCAGCTTTTGAATTTACTCTAAACGGGGTGGATGAGAGGGACATTAATTGCCATGGCAACGGCAGTCTGACCACCACAGATACAGATTTTCAGCAAATAAATGAGAACAGATGAGCAGAGGGGTAAGGGTTATCCAGTCTGCAGTGCTGGGGTCCCTCAGGTCAGTGTTCTAGGGCCCACATTATTCTCTCTGCTCTTATCAGCTCAAGTTCATGGACACTCACAAAGTACATCCACAGATCTACCTTTGAATGAGCAGCGAGTCCAACATCGCTCTGAAACAGTTGTTTTGTCTTTCACAATTCATATTATTCTTATTTTTTTTCTAGCTGTAAAAAAGCCAGAAAATACAATACAGTGTTCATGGTTTTACACTGATCTAGACCAGAGCCGAGAGGATGCACGGTTATAACCAAACAGATCAAACAGAAATCCACTGAAGGAATGATGCTAATCGAGCATTCAGAATTTCACTCTGAACCAGAGCAGAGACAATGGTCCAAACCAAACAGACTCTGCAGAAAACAACCAGAGGAAGCAGCTCATCACCACCTCGGCTGCTCTGACCACTTTAAGTACTTCTGCTGCTTTATTACTATTGTTTATAACTTTTAGAATGATGTATGTATTTGTTTCTGCTGCTGGATCTATCAGAAACATGTTTAAATGTTTAAAGTAGTGGGTGTTATGAAGCAGGCAGAGTGTGTTTGCTGCAGCCGCAACTGGACACTTTCATATGATCTTCTCTTGAGTAACTTCCCTCCTGCAAACTCCAGTGTTTGTTCAAAGATCTCTGCAGGGGATTTACGAACCACTGCTTTAGTGAGAGCTGCACCTCATGCTTCCTCTGCACCAGTGCCTCTGCACCTCCTGCTTCCTCTGCACCTCCTGCTTCCTCTGCACCTGTGCCTCTGCACCTCCTGCTTCCTCTGCACCACTGCTTCCTCTGCACCTGTGCCTCTGCACCTCCTGCTTCCTCTGCACCACTGCTTCCTCTGCACCAGTGTCTCTGCACCTCCTGCTTCCTCTGCACCAGTGCTTCCTCTGCACCACTGCTTCTGCACCAGTGCCTCTGCACCAGTGCTTCCTCTGTACCAGTGCTTCCTCTGCACAAGTGCTTCTGCACCAGTGCTTCTGCACCAGTGCCTCTGCACCAGTTCTTCCTCTGCACCAGTGCCTTCTCTGCACCAGTGCTTCATCTTCACCAGTGCTTCCTCTGCACCAGGGCTTCTGCACCAGTGCTTTCTCCTTCCTCCTCCTTCCTCTGCACCAGTGCTTCCTCTGCACCTCCTCCTTCCTCTGCACCAGTGCTTCCTCTACACCAGTGTTTCTGCAGAATGTCTCCTCACGACACAATCTACTGTCTGATGTGAACTGCTGTGTTTGTGTTTGAGGAGAACGTTTTCCTGAAGCTACTTTTAGAAGAACATTTAAAAAGCAGAGAACTGTGAGAAGCTTGTGTCACTTTTAAGGAATTGTTTTATATGTGGTTAATACTAAAACTCCCACAGCAGTCAATTTGACTGCTCTTTGTTTTGGAAGTGTAATTACTCAGCTCATGTACATTTTTGGTCTTTATCACTTTTATTTCTATTTCATTATTTTCATGAAACAATCTTTTGATCAACAACATTCTAAAGGAGTTAGAGTGACACTTGTCAATGTGCTGGTCCTGGACCGGCTCAGCTTGGAGCAAGTGTTAGTTACCATAGTAACACAGAGCAAGTGGTAGTTACCATAGCAACACAGAGACGGTGCTAGTTACCATAGTAACACAGGGCAAGTGCTAATTACCATAGTTACACAGAGCAAGTGCTAGTTGCCATAGTAACACAGAGCAAGTGATAGTTACCATAGTAACACAGAGACAGTGCTAGTTACCATAGTAACACAAAGCAAGTGCTAGTTACCATAGTAACACAGAGCAAGTGCTTGTTACCATAGAAGTGCTAGTTACCATAGTAACACAGAGCAAGTGCTGCTAACACAGAGAGCAAGTCTCTGTGTTACCATAGTAACACAGAGAAAGTGCGTGTTACCATAGTAACATAGAGCAAGTGCTTGTTACCATAGTAACACAGAGAAAGTGCTAGTTACCATAGTTACACAGAGCAAGTACTAGTTACCATAGTAACACAGAGCAAGTGCTAGTTAGCATAGTAACACAGAGAAAGTGCTTGTTACCATAGAAACATAGAGCAAGTGCTAGTTACCATAGTAACACAGAGAAAGTGCTTGTTACCATAGAAACATAGAGCAAGTGCTTGTTACCATAGTAACACAGAGAAAGTGCTTGTTACCATAGTAACACAGAGCAAGTGCTAGTTACCATAGTAACACAAAGCAAGTGCTAGTTACCATAGTAACACGGAGCAAGTGCTTGTTACCATAGAAGTGCTAGTTACCATAGTAACACAGAGCAAGTGCTGCTAACACAGAGAGCAAGTCTCTGTGTTACCATAGTAACACAGAGAAAGTGCGTGTTACCATAGTAACATAGAGCAAGTGCTTGTTACCATAGTAACACAGAGAAAGTGCTAGTTACCATAGTTACACAGAGCAAGTACTAGTTACCATAGTAACACAGAGCAAGTGCTAGTTAGCATAGTAACACAGAGAAAGTGCTTGTTACCATAGAAACATAGAGCAAGTGCTAGTTACCATAGTAACACAGAGAAAGTGCTAGTTACCATAGTAACACAGAGCAAGTGCTTGTTACCATAGTAACACACTCTTTGGCCTGTGGTAGACCTTGAACAAACTGTTGTTTCCTGTATTTTTTAAGTTATTTTAATTACTTTTATCATGTATTAAAAATAAACACCATTTATGTTTCTTTATTTGATCTGTCCGTCCGCTGTTGTTCAGTACAACATGAAAACCTGTGGCTTATAAAAAGCTCTGAATATTCAGCGAGTGCAGTAACACCTGCACACCACCTTCCTGAAAGTGTGAATAAATGTATCTTAGTCCACTTTCCAAATCATTATCTTTATTCAAATAATGCATAACAATGGTTTTTATGACTCTTCAGGCGACAGGTCTAGACTCTTGATTCTGTTGGAGCTTTGCAAAACGTTTTGGGTAAATTTCCAGGGGAAATTGAGCTGGCGAATTTTGGAAATATTCTATACTTGTGAACTTTCTATGGGAATAATGGGAATTTATGATAAACTGACTCGGGATGAATTGACAAACAATACATTTGCAGTTTATTAGAGCTTAAATATGAGAACACATGCTCCAGATCGAGGTTTCAGAAAATCACAGATGGTTTGAGAGGTTGGAATTTTGAAACTCTAATTATTACTAAGAATATAACTTCCTGCGCAATATTAAGACAAGCTGAATATGTGCCAGGTTCTGTCAGACCTATGAAGCTGAGCAGGGCAGGGCCTGGTTAGTACTATGATGGGAGACCTCTGGGAACACCAGGTGCCACAGTGGGGCGGCTGCGGCTGTAAAGTGCCGGACTGTGGTTGTGTCCTTAGGCAAGACACTTCACCACATTAGAATGAGTCTGGTGTGTGTGTGAATGGTTGGTGGTGGTCAGAGGGGCCGATGGCACAGACTGGTTGCCTCGCTTCTGTCAGTATGCCCCAGGGCAACTGAGGTTACGGTTATAATAACATGTGAGTGTCCCTAAAAGAACAGTTTTAAACCAATGCAATGTTTTTATGATTATATTTCAGAACAGCAGTAACACATTGGAGTCGGACCCCATTTAATCAATTGAACATAAATAAGTATTTTCTGGAACTAGCTGCTGTAAACCCACGCCAAAACACACTATTCATTTTCAAACACTTCTCCTGACTTCTTTACGGCACAAACACCTTAATCCTTTAAACGGTTTACATTAAAGTGACATGAGCCAAACGCTGTGAGGCTGTGTCCATAAGCCCCAGTCTCGTGGTCCGGGTTTGGTCTGGAAGAAACCCACAGATTTGAAGAATTCTGCTAATTCCCAAAGCTGACGTGAATCCTAATAAATACATTGTTGTGGAGTAATATTGTGTGTCACGTATGCGGTCCCTAAGCCAGCTCCACTCAGCGTCTCCTGCACCTGTAATGAGTCTGGAAAGTATTCTTGTTATTCTACACAGATCATGGAGAGATTTAGAAGGAGCCAGGAGCTGAATGGCAGATGTAAGATTATCAGCAGCTAGTTTATGGGCTGCGATGCTTGGCCGCAGATGTGAGACGTGGAAAACGGTTTGAGTCCTGTAATATCCAATCATACGGGCCAGCTGTGTGTAAGGCAAGGCAGGTTTAATTGTATAGCACAGTTCATGTGCAAGGAATCTCAAAGTGTGGAACAAAACAGGAAAGAAACAGTCACACAAGACATTCAAATGATAAATAATCCCAGAGCATAAAAAAGAGAGAAGATGCAATCTGAAATGCTGCCTCCCCAAAGTCAGGTCCCTGTGCTCCTCAGAGTCCCAGTAGGAGGCCAGTCCCTGTGCTCCTCAGAGTCCCAGCAGGAGGCCAGTCCCTGTGCTCCTCAGAGTCCCAGCAGGAGGCCAGTCCCTGTGCTCCTCAGAGTCCCAGCAGGAGACCAGACCCTGTGCTCCTCAGAGTCCCAGCAGGAGGCCAGTCCCTGTGCTCCTCAGAGTCCCAGCAGGAGGCCAGTCCCTGTGCTCCTCAGAGTCCCAGTAGGAGGCCAGTCCCTGTGCTCCTCAGAGTCCCAGCAGGAGACCAGACCCTGTGCTCCTCAGAGTCCCAGCAGGAGGCCAGTCACAGCTTGTCGTTTACAACTGCATATGAAAAGTAAAGACTAAAAACAAGAGCGAGACCAGAGAGTTCAGTGAGGGATCAGAGAGAAATCAGAAAGAGTGAGACCTGGAAGAGAGTCCAAAGAGATAAAGCAGAGAGAGAGACCAGAGAGAGACCAGAGAGAGACCAGAGAGAGACCAGAGAGAGACCAGAGAGAGACCAGAGAGAGACCAGAGAGAATCCAGAGAGAGACCAGAGAGAGATCAGAGAGAGACCAGAGAGAGACCAGAGAGAGACCAGAGAGAGACCAGAGAGAATCCAGAGAGAGACCAGAGAGAGATCAGAGAGAGACCAGAGAGAGACCAGAGAGAGACCAGAGAGAGACCAGAGAGAAACCAGAGAGAATCCAGAGAGAGAGACCAGAGAGAGACCAGAGAGAGGCTGTGAGCTCTCTGTTCGGGTTCTTTATGAATCCTTAAATCTAGCTCAACAACAAAACACACAACAACAAGAACGCAAAAAACAACACAACATATAAACACAAAAGAACAACCCCTTAACAGAACAAACACAAGACAAAAAAGAGAGAAAACATGTCAATTATAGAAGAAGAAGAAGAAGAAGAAGAAGAATGTCCATACATCTAATTCGGCAAAAACACATACACTGTAGATCTCCTTTCCTTGGGTCAGGAAACCGGCACTTATCAAAAGTGAATTGTGTCCCAAGCAGTTGAAGTTGAGTTTTTGGCCTAAAACCTTCTCTCACGTCTGTCCAGTCTAGTCTCAGTCTGCTCTCAGTCTGCTCTACATGCAGCTCTCCCAGACAGAGCTCACTCTCGGGGCTGTTATGGTCGAACTCGGTGATATTATGACGCAACATGATGAAAGAGCGGTGCGGTCTGGAATGTGCATCAGTCAGATCTGTTCGCACAAACGCTAAACCAGAAACTACTGCTCTGGCTTCATCCTCTCCCCACACAGAGACCAGAGGGAGACCAGAGGGAGACCAGAGGGAGACCAGAGGGAGACCAGAGGGAGACCAGAGGGAGACCAGAGAGAGACCAGAGAGAGACCAGGAGAGAGAACAGAGAGAGACCAGAGGGAGACCAGAGAGAGAACCAAGAGAGACCAGAGAGAGACCAAGGGAGACCAGAGAGAGACCAGAGGGACACCAGAAGGACCAGACAGAGACCAAAGAGAGACCAGAGAGAGACCAGAGAGAGACCAGACAGAGACCAGAGAGCCACCCGAGAGAAACCAGAGAGAGAGACTCTTATACTGTCTGATAACAGCCCAGAAAGCTCTTCCAATGCATTTGATGAATCATTTATAAGATTATGAACAGTGTTGGAGTAAAAACACTGCCCTGGGGTACTCCACTTCATAGCTAGACGTAAATTCTTCAGTGTCAATAGGTCTGTCTATAATAATACATATAGTGCAAAGTTACATACATATAGGGCAGGATAAGTAGATTTTTCCGTGATTAGCTGAATTACTAGGTTTGCACTTCCATGTCTCATTCCCACGTCTCTCTTGTCGGTCCATTAAGGGTGCTTGCAGTGTCCCATCAGAATGAGAGTCAGACTGGAGGAAGCTCAGTCTCACTCTCTGTAATCTCCCTTCCCTCGTTCTGCTCGGACACAGATCTGCTGGACAGGATGCACTCACA